AAATATAAATTTTTTTCTAAAATGTTTTATGTAGGTAAAAATTCTGAAATATATTATAATATTCAATCATTTTATTGATTTCTGAAGAAAATTTGTAAAATCTTAAGAAATTTAACTTTCAGAAAAATCTCCCTAAGTTTAAAATACGACAAAATTTAAAAAATATTAAGCGACATGAGCATTTTTTTCACCAGGATAACAAATGTTTGAAACATGATTTTAGGTATTTCAACCATATTTACGGATGTGCGTGATTCCTGGTGATATCTGGACGTGTGATATACTCTCAACCGACTCTCCCGTGACAAAGAAGCACGAAATATCCGAACTAATCAATCCAATGAATACCAACTATCTAGGATATACGGAAGATCCTTTAGGATTCTCCGAAACAGTTGATTCGTCCTACGTGATTGACGACTTTTCCGATTCGACCGAGGCGGTGACTGCATATCCCTTGATCGAATTTGAAGAATCGGACAAAACAACGCACAAAAGCGTGAGAAATGCCTCGTATCACAGGGAAGAGAATTATCTATACAAGTATACGAATAGCCAAGAGCAGCTGTCATTGTCTCTGATACAAGAATATAAGGACATTGTGAATAATCATTATAAATGGCTAAACAAATTAATGAATCGATTGCACGCCTACAAAGAGCTGTCAGCAATATCAAGTTCTTTATCGATACCTGTTAAAGACACTACAACCATAAACCCAACGCAAACCATCACCATCTTCACGTCTCATCATCGGAAACAGAACATATCGTTAAACTACCTCATGCAAAGTTATACCGAAGGAACAGAGTTACATAACAGTGAACCAACTGAGATGATAGGAAGTAATAAACCTCAGAGGAATACCGTCGCGACGACGGACAGTACCGTTCCAACGGAGAGTGCTTTGGAGCTGCTAATCAACAGTCTGGACTCTGACAACAACATAATAAGAATTAGTGATAATCTCGGGAACAAACAGTATCTCACGATTGACCGGTACAGAAACATAGCGCATCGATTAACGCCACGAACCGTTAGCGTCGTGGCGTGCACGAGGAACGTCCGTCTGCCGAATAAGACTGATTGTAATCGGTACTACACATGTGAACCAAAAACGGCCACCGTAGTGGAATACTCCTGTCCGCCGCACACGGCTTTTAACATGTACTCGCGAATCTGCGACATCGAGAGCACGAAAACGTGCGGCAGCAACGTAAAGCCTCCTGTACCTGAAATATTTTTCGAGAATATTCATGCCAAAAACGAAGGTACAACATACGAACCGTCCGAGGAGAGATTGTGTCAAGAACTTGGTAAGATAAAAGATCCCGCTTCGGATTCTCATTATTACATCTGTTATAGCATGCCGAATTCCGACAATATCAAATCAATCCGAATGACTTGCCCAAATGCTTTGATATTTTGCCAAAGCAAGAAGGTGTGCACCACCAGACGACTGTGCAACGCACTATGAAGTAACGTTTTCTTTTGTTTCTTCTATTTTTCTCTTACCTTGAGTCGGTGAGTTGAAAGCCGATCCGATTTCCGACGAGGTGTCTGTACTCGACGAGCTGTGAGCTGGCGAAGTTTGAATTCGTAACGGCGTGGCGTAATCCAGAGCACACATCACCACTTTCTCCATTCTGCTAGAATCCAACATAAATCGCTTACAGCAAACTGCAGAATCGATAAATTTTATGGATTTATTATAAATAAATAAAATAAATATATTATATGAGAGAATATTATACAACTCTTTAATTGAGAGAAAAAACTAATAAAGTTTATGCTTTCAAATTGTTATATTCACTCCCACAAGATTAAATACCAAAACCAACGATAGTATCATAATATTATATCTTCATTTTCGGCTAATAAAAAATTATTTCAGTATTTATATCGTTAGAATTATATATTTGCATTATATTCATATCTTTTTTCCAACATCCTGTATTATATATTTAGTACAAAAAAGGAAAAAATTGAAATAATTATAACAGTAAATCAGCTATTAACTTAAATTTTATCAACACAAATAAACGAAGAAAACTATATTCGGTCAAAGCAAATGTTAATGGTGCTTAATATTTTTAAGGTCGACAAATATAATCAACGCGTAATTTACTTTATATTGTAAGATTTACGTAAAAGTATTAAGCATCGACCATCGCTTTAACCGAATATGGCCTTCGCTTATTTGCATTGAACATTTCTCAACTTTTACTCACTATTGTCAACTTTATCAGTCAAACAAGGTATTGTGATAAAACTAGAGATAACAGCGTGTTATGTGAATGAAACACTCAATTGTTATTTACGTGGATTCGGTTTTTCCAGATGCAATGCCAGAGACCGACTCATCCATAACCACCGCTGAATCGTTATTTCTTTCAACATTGATAGTAGGAATTGTGGGCGATTCTTCCATCTCCGTCTTGGTAGACAATCCATTTTCATCCTCGGTTTTGTTTCTTTTCTCATATTGTTTCTCTTTATCAGGATCGATCTCTTTATGCGAATTCTTCTCGGCGTTGCCATCTTGATGACTCAATTTCATCAACTGCTGTAAAGCCTCCAAAACTATCTGTCTATTCGTCTTCAGCATCGTTAATTTATGCGAAATAGCGAGACGTCTATCTGGCACGACGGCCATCAGATTGAATCTGATATCTTGCAGCTGTTCGCCAGTTGCCATGCCTAAACGATCGGTTATGACGCGTCTAAACTGCTCCGTCCATTCTTCATGTTCCTTCCACGGTCCGTGATCCATGGGATATGGTTTTAAGCCATCTAACTCAAACAGCCTACCATTTATCGGTACGTAGCTTACAAAATGAAAAGCCTCGCCGGTGAATCTACCTGTGGAGACACCAGTGTTCTTGTCCTGCCGTCTCTTCGCTTGGGGCATTGCATGGGAGTTGTGTGCACAAGCTAGCTCTGGTGTATTACCAATGGCCCAACCTTTGTTTTCTGGGCACATGCCAGAGGTATGCATCTTTAATCGTGACAGAGTTGTGCCTAGGTGAATATTCGGGCAATTTAGTAGCACTGAGAGCAATGCGTGAGTGGCGCAACTGTTGGGAACAACCTATGATAATTAACGTAAAATTGTGTTACATAGATAATTTTTTTTCTTTTATATGTTAAAAAAGTTCTAAATCACTCCTTATAGTTTTCACATACAAAGTTCTAAATCACTGTTTAGTTTTTACATATTAAGGTCCTACACTAGTCATGTGAAAAAAAGTTCTTTGAATGAATTGAACAATGATTCAACGACTGTTGAGCGAGTTGAAGTAACTTATCATGTTCTTTGCATCTAAAGATTCAAATAATTATGGAATGATTTTTCTTTTAAGGAATGTCATTGTTTTTTAATAAATTAAATATGTAAAAATAAAAATCAAAAGATGGATGAAAACTTTTTTAACAACTTAGCAATAGGAGCTCTGACATAGTAAAAGCTGTACTAGACCTGCTGCGCAAAGAAGATGTTGTTAACAATTTCCTCGTCTTTAACAAAACTCTCATCTTGCTCTACGATCTTTCGCCTAGATCGTCGTTCCTCAATCCACCGAAATAAGAAGATGAAGCCATAGACGGGGCCTTCCAGGGACTTCTGTAGATCATAAATCTCCTCTACTTGGACGCCTTTCACACCAAAATCTTCCAAGAGCAACGTGAACAGACCTGAATGGACGTAGAAAGTGTTAATAGTTTGCGGTTGCTATGAATTTATAACACATAAAGTACTTTCTAAGCTGTGAATCAGACATCAGATTTTCATTAACAAACGACTGATAGATACATTTCAACGTTAATAACATACCTGGGTCACTTTCTAGCTCTAACCAACCCTCCGTCAATCGATTAATGTCAACGGGCATCTTGTTGTTAGCTGTCAGATACAAAATAGCAGAAAACTCCTACAAACTCATCGCACTCTGACAACCAGGCGCCATGTTCAAAGGCCAAAGTAGTCACGTGACACATTAGGCCTGTTCTTTTTACTGAACTGGTGCATAGAGCGCAATAAGTTCTGGTTGAAGTGAAACAGATACACGTTTGTTTCATTTCAACTTATTGCACTGTGTGCACTAGTTCAGACAGTGCAGACAAAAAGAACAGGCTGTGTCGCTTGTGGAAGGCACCAGTCATCACGTGTGTAACAAACCGCGTTTTTATGACTACTTTTGGAGAAAAAGATCGATGGTTAAAATAAATTTAGATACTTTAACTAAAAAAAAATAACTTAAATATTAAAAAGTTAAAAGATAAAAATTTGTACATTCAATTTACAAATCAATTCAGGAGATTAATAATAAATAATATTGTATTTTTTAATCGTGAAAAAGGATTTGTATTCTAAGTAATCAACAAAAACTTTGTTAGAAAAAAAAGAACTGCTAGTAAAACACACAGAGACCACTTTAGAATCCCTAAAATATATATTAATTTCATTAATTATATTTTAATGCTTTTTAATATTTTCTTTATTCAGCAAATTATACATAGTAAACTTATAAAGTAAATACAAACTAAATTTAAAATGAAGAATTGTTTTACATCAGTATTACTGAAATATTCCTACATCAAAAATTTATAATATAATCATAAAAATATAAATTAATAGATTATACATATATATACATTATAGATTATAAATGTTAAATCTTATAACCAAAATCAGTTGTAGTACTTGTAGTATAATAATTCTTATAGAATTTCAACAAACTATATACAAACTTCAACCTTCTAGTCCAACCAGGAATTTGAAGAGAGATTCACAGACAAAATTTCAATTTTGTATCATTCTGTCTCAAATTGAAATACTTACAAAAAAAAAAGAAAAACGTTTTAGATAATTATAAAATCATATTTTTGTATGCTAAAATATGTAGAATTTTGTTGGAGCCCAAAAACTTTGAAAAACATAATCAAACACCAGTGATTCAATTGGACTAAAAAATTATAAGTGAAAGGAAAACGTTGGACCATGGAAGGTTGAACATGAAAATCTTGAAATTTATATAACTTGTTAATTTTTCGGTGCTAAACACTGATTGATCACACCAACTAGCATAGAATTTTCTAAAGCCGCCGCAACTCTTTCTTTGTCTGCAAGCTGCTTATTCACTGCTGCTTCCGAGATATGAGTACCTGGAGAAATTTCCACACTAACTTTAAACCTAGAAGGTAAGGCACGTAACAATTGCACGCGAATGGATAAACCAATTAAAGTGGCCATGCTGCAATGCGGTATTGTGGGTGTAAATTTTACATCCACTGTGTTTTTTTTGTCATCAACCTGCAATAATGAATTTTAAGTAATTTTCGAAATAAAATAGTACAATATTGTTTAAAAAAATGTTTTACTTCAATGAGATTCTGCTCAACCACATTTAATTCTTCTAGAGTTAAAGGATGTTCCGGATCATTAATGTTCCTAATAATATCTGTAAATTAACAGTTACAGAATCAATATTTTTTTATATTGCACTTATAATAAAGAATGCACTATTATATAAATAACACTATTTAATTTATGATGTACATATATATATTTAGTATATTATATCATGAAAGTTTATTAAAGAATAGATTTGTTTTTATAGCTAATACAATATATATATATATATATATACTTTTTATATTTTAAATAAAATAAGAAATTTGGTGACAGAAAAAAGAAAAATTATAGTGAAGCAATCAGAAATTAAATCTATTTATCACATACTTAATGTATTAATAATACAAATTGCGGCAATTCTATATTTATCATACAAAATATTTAATAAATATACATTTTATTTATATTTGAGTATATTCTCAATTTTCAATTACCAATAAAAATATAAACGCTTAATAATCGCAAGTAACAATTAACAAAATATCTTATACGCGAACAAAAATATATTAATTCTATATATTTGTGTTTGAAAATCATCGTTGAAAATCAATAATTTGAGGTTATGTACCAAAAATCTCTCGAGCATCAAATTCATCCGTGACATCCTCATCTTGGTCCGAGATTGTGATTTCTCGGTCATCTAATTTTTTATAAAGCTTTGGGTTAATGTTCTCCAAATTTTCGCTCATTGTATATTATCGTCAAATAGCCGACAAACTATAATCCAAAGTTTTAAACAGTTTCAAACACCTGAATCACCAGAGAGTAAAACACTAACAATAAGAGTAAGAAATAGACCAATCACAGTCGAGTATTCTTTTCACATTCAACTGTGATTGGTCAATTTCTTATTCTCATAATCTTATCACCATTGCTTACTGGTATTTGTACACGGCTTTAATTTCAATGTCAAAAAAAGGAAGAGAAGAAAATGAAATGTACGAAACGTTCGTTTTTAAAGCGCAAACTTGAAATGCACATATCAATTTTCACCCTGATATTAAATTATTAAAACAAAGCGAAAGAAGAGATTGAAAAGAAAGGTTAGGTGTCTTAGATGAGAATCCGCGGCGAATCATAACCTCGTAGAGATGCAACACTTGACACGAGTTTCGTAAACTTTATGAGTAAAGTGAAATAGAATTTAAATTAATCGCCTAGAGATGACGTGCTAGAGGATAGCACCTCAAGCAACATGCTCTCGCGGATCACCCGGACCGTCCTCACGTCGAGTGTCACAGCGTTGTTGCGGCAACCGCTGAGTGAGGTCGAGGGCCGGTTATTGAGTCGCTCTATTCACACCAGTCAGCAACGATGCAAAGAAAATGACAAGAAAGACAACAAACATTCGGCTCTCGTGCTCCACGCGTTCACGAACACCGAGAGCAAGAATAAGGATGTCTACCTGGACATCCTGCGCGAGTACAAGAACAACAACGAAATGAGACGCGGCCACGTGGAGTTCATTCAGGTCGCCCTTAAGTATTTAGATGAGTTCGGCGTGAATCGCGACCTGGCGGTGTACAAGGACCTATTGGACGTGCTGCCCAAGGGCAAGTTTGTCCCTCGCAACGTCTACCAGACCATGTTTATGCACTATCCCAAGCAGCAGTATGTTGCCATCGAGCTACTCTGCAAAATGGAGGATAACTGTGTGATTCCAGACGTAGAGATGCAGGATATGCTGCTGAACATCTTCGGGACACATGGCCTACCATTGAAGAAGTTCTGGCGGATGATGTACTGGATGCCCAAATTCTCCAATTTGAATCCATGGCCCTGTCCTCAACCGGTGCCTAAGGATCCTAAGGTGCTTGCCAAGCTGGCAATGAATAAGATATCCAGCGCAGATGTTCAGACTGAAATCATGGAGTTTGAGACCAAGGACGTAAAGGATGCCATTGATGATACGTGGATCGTATCCGCGATGAGTAGTTTACAGGAGGAACTATTAATGAAGCAGCCTCTGGATCTTCCGATTTTTGTTGAAGGACCATATACAGTTTGGGTTGCGGATCAGTGTATAGATTATTTTATTTTAAAGGGAGCAACTAAAGAGAGGAATAATGTTTATCAAAATCTTGATGGTAAATGGTTACTAAAACTTAAAAGAAAATTTTTCTACTAATTTTTGTTATTTGTATATAATTATATCCAGTTGAGACATACTTCAGAAAAGTAATGTATTACTGTTATTGTTATTACTAATTGTAAGTTTGAAATTTTTCGAAGAAAAATCCTTGATTTCTCAAAATCAGTGAGTAATGGAACTTTTTGAATCATACATTCTTTTTCAACAATAAAAAATATATTTACATTGATAAGCAGAAATCTTGTATAAATCAATATTATTATTATGATATAAATTATTATATTATTAATATTAATATTATATTAATTGTCCCCAAACGTTCAAGCTTTTTCATAGAAAAATACTAATGTGATTTTTTTAATAGATGTTTCAGATATTAGAATACATTTTTGGGATAAGAAAGAAATAATTCTTGCACCTACGGTCCATGAGCAAGACGATGGTACATATTTTGCAATGTGTGCCACTGGCACATCCACAAAAGACTCATTGCTATCCTGGATACGATGTCTGCAAAAGAAGAATCCTGTATTAACTGTAATTCCGGTAGTATTCAAATTCATGTCGACCACGAGGAAACAGTTCTACATCGACTATAATGAAAGTAAAAATAAAGACGTAGTGCAAATAAAGGATTAATGGAAAGATACAAATTGTTAATGTCTGTAGATAGCTCTTGTTTGTATATAAAATATAATATTTTTTTTATTACAGTTGACATGCTTTCAATCAATTTATCAGTTTAATTGATTTACAAATTTATTTAATAATTTAAACCTTGATATTTTTTCAATTAAAAAAGTTTTTATCTTTTTGATTATGAAAATATTCCATTATTACGATGTAAATATAACATTTAAGCAGAAAGGATGGGAAGGAAGGATATATAAAAATAAGATACACAGTACATAGAAAGTTAATATAATTTATTCTGTGCAGCCACATATGTATTGCTTGGTGTACCTTCCCAGTGATAGGAATCAAAATAATATATGCCATTTGCCGGTAATCAATAGGTCATCACATTGATTCGCTGTACTTGTCCACTTTATATATAAATACATCGCGAAGGAAAAATATATATATATGTGTGTATGTATATATATGTATATTCTGTACAATTTCTAGTATCGTATACATTATATGTTGCTCTGATGACACTACTTCGTTAATGCGTTAAGTCTAAGCCGCCCTTTAAGTGAGACTTCGTCTCAATCGCGCGAACAATGCCTCTAATGAAAAAATATGCATCTCCATCGAGCGAATTCCGTATAGATTTATACAAATCTATAATATGTTGTTATTTAAAAGAACGAATTAAACCTGCATACGAGAGATCTAATTCTCATTAAAGTGCCTAATCTTTTATCGAAAAATATATTTCAAAGTTAATCTCCCCTAAAATATATCATGTATTGCATCGTTCTATTTATTTGCGTGGCATCTAATTTCGCAAGGCGAACAATCACAAGCGTTATAGCTCCTCTCCTGATGAATATTATATGGTTTGACCATTGGTAGTAACTGCTTATACAGTGCGTTTACGCTGTTTGTAATCCGCCGATTACACTTTGACACGTATAGTGAAACTCGTCTATGTCTAATTTCTCACGACGCAAAATAGCACCTGCTTAGAATGTACTAAAAATAGTATATATTTGCGGTATAAACCGCACTCAACTACAAATATGTTCTGCTTCACGCGACGATCAAAAGAATTTATCGGAGATTTAAGTCTCGTAAACAGAGACTGCAGGTGTTTATGCAAATTTATGAATTTGGAAGCAAACGGAATAGTTGCGAAATCGAAATATTTGTCATCACGACACGCAGAAATATTTTTTATATTATACTTTTCTTAAACGAAAGCTTATTATAACAGTAGATATTTTGTGAAAATAGAGAATAAATGTATCTTTTCCATCAAATTGAATTTAGAGTTTAACTTTATAAAGTTTTCTTTGTTTTTACAAAATGTGAGTTAACCTTATTTTGCAGTAAGCCTTTTAATTTATTTGAAATGTATTCAGAATATTCTCAATCATGTGTATTTGGATTGAATCAAATTTTACTGGCACTCTCTTTCTCGCTTTCGTCAAATATAAAATATAAACTTATCTCATTTTTTAAGTAGTGTACACGAGAAAATATACACTAGTATATTCAACCACAAAAAATAGACTATATTTTTTGTAAATTGTAAATTATGGAGAATTTTCTTTCCAAGACAGCTGAAGCATTATTAATATAATTAAGAATAGTTTTTGCATAAACATCTGTGTTTTGATCGCAAATAATTGCATCTCGTTGCCGCATCATTCTTTTTCACATACAATTGATATACAACTAGTCTAAATCTAAATACTTTCGTGAATCAAATAATATTATGGAAACTACTAGAAAATAAGCTCGCTAATTAAACTTCAGTGTTCGTAAAACTCAAGCGACATTTTTACATTTTGATTATCTTTCTATAAAAAGCAAAAACATAAAAAAAAACTTATGATTAAGATGTGTAATACGCGTTTCAAAAATCGATTTTATGAGCCAAGCTTTAAATTTCTTACGATAATATCACTTATTACACTGATGAATACAACTTATGTCCATTTCTATTAATGTAGATTAAGTTTAATCTCGCTTAATTTACTTTTCATCTACTTTTAGTTTTAATAATTGGAACAAAAATAAAAGGTAAATTAAACCGAGATTAATCTGCATTTTCATAGAAATGAGTCTTATTGTGTTTGCTATTGATTGTGAATTTATTTTTCAAATAAATTTCCAATCAATAATATGTCGCTTCTTTGCTTAAAAAATGACACAACTTGAAAAGTCAAATTTTTCAGAAAACAACTTTTTTTACAAACAACTTTACAAAAAATTATTGACTATAATTAAATAACATCAGCAAAAGAATATGTTCTTAATATCAAATGCCAATTTCGTCATTTTTGTTTTATAATCCCTAAAATCTTCTTTGAGTTGTGACGATTTTAACGATTTTTTTTATAGAGTTTAATTTGTTCACTTTTAAGTTTTATAATTTATAGGATAATGTTTATTTAATTTATTCACACACACACGCGCGCACACACGTGATAATACTGCAACTCAAAAATTGCATTGTTTTAATTGTCATTTTTTAAGTAAGGGAACGATATGTTTATTGTATGTATATATATTAATTATTATTGTATATATATTATTGTATGTATATATATATTTTTATATTTATACACATATATAATGTATATATTTAAGTAACAAAAATAATTGCCACACTTATCACTTATCGCTTCGAGTATGTAGGCGTTAAAACATTTTAAGTACAAAACTAGAAGTATAATCGGCTTGTCGTCGTTTCTGCGTAGCAAGGAGACCACGAATAATTGCAGTCCCTGATCGGTTTTTAATCGATATTTAACAAATATACGCGTAATAAATACGGAACAGTGATGAAAAAACCGTGCAAAGTGGTAATTTCAACTGAATTCCGTTTGAATTTTTAAGCAATCATGCAATTCAACCGAGCAAACGTGTCTCGTTAATTTATATATAATAACGGTTTTTTTTGCATTAATGTTTCGTGTAAGAAATAAATATCGTCGACGCGCGTATAAAATTAATTTGAGCGTCATTGCGTCGTACCAACAGGAATGTTCAACGTATTCTTGGAAAGCGCATCAATTGCCAAACAGTCGTCAAATGCAATGATAAAGAAGTTATATAAATAATTTCTGCGTGCGAGTCGAACTATACTCGGTAAATCGAGCTGATATAAGTTCACGCTTTTTCATCAATCTGTGTACCCAGTAGTCCTCCGATTTCGATCGATGTTACAATCAATATTTGCAAAATTCTCTTTTTGTGACTTTAGATTGAATAGCAATTTTACTTACGTCACCAATCTAAAGTTAAGAAAATTTTGTAATGTTATTAATTATTCTATATTACATTAATAATAATTATTTAATTTTTAACGTCAGATTAATCGCTCTACGAATTAAACGTATACTCTAAATAAAATATATAAAACTGAACGTCACACTTTTAGATAAAGTGTTATAAATAAGTAAAGAAACGCCAAATACAATGTGACTCAGGTGATATTTTTCACAATAAGTTCTTTGTAATGTTTCGAAATATTTATTAACATCATTCTTAAATTGATAGTTAATTTAATTTATAGCTATTTAATTTATTATTATTTTAGCTTCAGTTTGCGATTGCCTTTCAAATCTGATAGTAATCGACGCGCAGTTTATATAACTGAAAGATGTATTTAAAATTCACATAAAATTAAACATTGTCAGGCATCAAGATAGACCATGCACGACCGTGTAATATATTTGACATTTCTTTACTTATGTGATTTATTTATATAGCGGTGTATACTATAACTTATTAAAATTTTACAAATTTTATTATACTTATCGCTGCAAGTATAACAAAATCAAAAATAACTTATCAATAATTAAGAAATAATATATGGAAGAACTTATTCACGCGTAAAATTATTCCTGCGTTAGATATGTTTGGAAATGTTACATTGACGAAAAAAGTTGTTTGTTTTTTTTAATTAGCAATCCTTGTAAAAAAAATTTCAATATCTCATAATACTTTTACGAATTTATCATATTTTAAATTTATTTAAAAGATTTCTGAAAAAATCTCTTGAATTTCTTCAAATTTTTATAAGTTTTCTTCATTAATTATAAAAACTGAGAAATTTTCTAAGAAGTTATAAAATTATGCAGAAATTATTAAAAAATTTACATAAAAATTTTAAACAAAATTTTTACCACGGAAAAGTTGAAAGAACGAACAACTCTTTTTTATTAATTTATGACGTAAGATAATTTATATCGTAATCATAGGGCAAGACATTGGAACCTCGCGTCTTCGAAAAAGCCACGGAGCCGAATCCGTGACCTTGAAACTGAAGACCGGCCGTTCGACGACTTTGTTCTGACTCGTTCACGTAGAACAGCTGAGGCACGTCGGGTCTCGAGATGATTCCTGAGCTCGTCTCGTGTAGACCTTCAGTAATTGGCAGTGTACCCTGCACAAATATTTAGCAACGTGAGGTGATGCTTTCTGTGCAAATTTAGAAATGCCGAGATCATGTCGCAAGAGTACCCCACGAGGTGGGACATCAGCTATATGGCTATATCGTACATAAATTGCACGTACTTGAATTTTAGATAAGATAAAAATTTTAATGTGCAATTAAGAATTCAAATGGAGACTTTTAACACGACTCCGGGACACCTGATACCGATAACGCACACGATCACGTCTGTTGTTTACTCGCCTGATTTTGACATTGGTGCTGTCGACCACCTCGCCGTCGCAATTCCAGACGCTGAGTCGTGAGCCCGAGCGGGTCGCATTCGACCCGTTCTCGAATTGCAGGGTCGGCAGAGCGCGGAATGTGAATTCTCTCGCCCGGTAGACCTCGGCGAACGGTAGCTCGTACTGCAACAGAGTCGTGATTTTCATCTGGAGTTTTTTGAGCATAATTATAGTATATAATAAATTATAATAATACACATGGAGGCATAGCGAGGATTTTGTTTAAGAGGAGCCCAATTAGAAATATTGGAATGTGAGACTTGCTATTTAAGTATTAGTTTATAATTTAAAAACGAATAAAATAAATTAGTCAATTAAAAATATGTGTCCTTTCGGGGGAGGAGAATAATCGAGTTGTATGGATCATTGGACTTTTTTTATTTTATATTATTTTTAATTAATTATTAGAAGTAAATTATACATATTTAATTTAGTAATTCACTCTCGAGTTTACTTAATTTTTCTTACAAAATAGTAAACTGATTTTTTGAATTAGATAAACTTACATTTATAACAGTAGCCGTTTTGGATTCTCAGAAAATTTTTTTAGAAATTCTACATGTCTTTAATTCTTTTTTCTTCTCCAACTTAATAATTTTGTGTAAATACTCATTAATACTCATTGTGAATACTCTTTTTTTTGTAAACATACATACTCATGAATTTTGAAATTATCTTATAGTATTGTGTAATTATTTTTATTCTAGAAGATTTGAGGGGAAAACAGGCCTCCTGCCCCTCTTGGCTACGCCCATGATAATACATACAATTATAATTATGCATATACAGTATACAGTTGTTCCTTTCTCAGAATTTCAGAATTACATCTCGTAGTAAAATATTGCGTTTTAATTTCATGAAATTGTCTTTTACAATTATTCTATATAATATTAGATATATAATACAGAATGTCTCATAAAAGTATTAAATTATTATTAAAAAATTAATAATTTACAAAATTTTATATTTCATGTCATAATTTGCCAAAAAGTATAAAATATCTGTATGTAAAATATTGATTTTTCGATATCTGTCTACGTACTTTTATATGCGAAATATAAAACGATTAAATTTTTCAATTATTGTTCACTTCTATTAATAAAGATTGACTTTAATCTGGATTCAATTTACTCTTTATCTCCTTCTAATTCTTAGAACTGTATAGAGAAAGATAAAAAAATAAGTTAAACCAAGATTAAAGTTAATCTATATTGATAAAAACGGGCATATATAAGTGATTAGGCATTTAACGCCTACACTAACGACACCTAGCCATTATAAAAATGTTATAAAAATATTATTGTGTGTGTGTATGTGTGTGCGCTTTCTCAAGTCCATGCAAAATAATAAACATTTACAGAATAACTTGTTGAAACCATGAGTGATGCACACTTGTGGCACGCGCATAAAACTTCAATATATCGATAATGTATTATACATATAGCACTGAAGGCGTTAAATGTCTGTAAGCAATGATTAATGATTGATAGTAAACATAGCTATTAAAGCGTCAAGCAAAAAGATTAATATATAATTGGCGACAACTATTCAAATAAATAACTGAAACTCGTGCGTACCACAGTTTTTCGTTTACTGGACAGCCTGAGCAATAATCTGATATTATTTATTAAAGATGTATGTCGTATTAGGATCACATCCACGCAGCCATCGCCCACGTGGCAATGAGGACTAAAACCCATGGGACACCTCGAACACGCGCACGACACGTTCGCGCCGAACACCATGAAGAACTTCCCTCTGACCGTTACCCACCCTACGGAGAAGACACAAGATTTATTCAATTAATTTTGACCGGTTTTGTAACTGCATTATGTATTTGCTTTCCATTCTCTTCCGTGTTTTAACACTCACTGGAGATTTCCTGGTCGGGGATGCTGTTGTGCATGTGCTGCAGGCAGCGTAAGCAATTCTTCATGCACCTGGTGCTACCTGCTGGGTGACATGGATCCGATAACAGATCGATCTCACCCTCATAGCCCTTGTTTGCTAATATCTTTTTAAATCCTGGAAACAAAATAAGGATCTAATTAGTTTGATAGAAGTTCCATCCATACTTATACATAAAATACTTTATTACTTACATAAATTACATTAGAAATGAACGTTTGTTATAATGCAGCAAATTAATTGATATTTAATTCTTTAAATTCATATTTATTTAATAAAATTATGCTTGTTATCTCAACTCAAGCCGGACAATCAGATTTAATTAGCTTTGCTTTTTTTTTAATGACAATTCTTCTTAAATTAAATTCAATCGAAAGACTCGACCTTAGTATAAAAACTTTTCTTAAAATTTTTATGCAAAATAAAACACTTTTCAAAAATATTGAGAAAGTCTGCAATATTTTTATGTTTTCTAATTTTATAATTTCTGAAAAAATACCAAAAATTTTTCAGATTTTCTAAGAAAATATAAGAAATGATAAGATAGAAATCCTAGAACATATATTTCAAAATTCACTTATGCATATAAATTCAGAAGAGATATAAGACTTCCTCGGCACTTTTGAAAAGCGTTTCAATTTGTAATGAAAAATCAGAGAAATTTTCTAAAAATTTCAGTAATGTTGAAAAATTATACGAAAAGTTTTGAGAAAAAGATTTTCACCAGTGGTTTCTTACCGGACCAGTCGTATCTACAGGGTCCCATCCAGCGGAACTTTTCGCTATCGCGGATCACGTCGCCTAGATAACCATAGCTGAACACGCTGGCATAGAACCTGAGCAATGTGCGATTGCTGTGAACCGACGAGATGTCCAGACCAATCGAGTCGCCGAAGATGATATGTATAGCGGCAGTCTGCACGTCGGTGGTGCCATGCATACTGTAGGCGACTGTGTCGGTGCTACCGCTGGGTATAACGCCAACAGGTAAGGCGGGAGTAGGCAACCTGGCATCAGGATTATTGGGATCGATCTGCTGATCCTTCGCCGCTCTCATAATCAACCCGTTGAACACCTCAGCGAAAGTGCCGTCACCACCGATGCACACCACCGCCTATCGAACACGAAAACTTTAGTTTGAAGATAGTTCGAATCTTTTTTTAACTTACGTATATATTATGCAATCAGAGATGAAAAGTAACACGTTACTTGCAACGCCGTTTTACTTCAATCGTTACTTTATTATATAATAACGATTTGGTAATGACGTTGAGAATTTTTTATGATTGTAACACCAGGTTGGGAAAGTCACTCGTTGCTTATAACGAGTTGGAAAAGTCACAGTGTTACTGAAAAAAGTGATTTGTTACTTTCTTTCAAACTTGTAACGCGTTATTTTTAACTCGTGTTACTTTTTTTTTCAATAAACACGTGATAGTGACGAGTTATACTTTCCGAAAATAACTTTTCCAGCTTTAGGATTTTATTACAATGTCATCAGTGCCATATATATATTAGCATTAGAGGCTAACGTAGGCTAGTTATTGCTTAGGGACGGCAAGTTTAGGGGAGCGGCATTTTTTTTTAAAGTTCTAAAGATAACTAATTTTTTTGGTCAGACGTAAACGTGCAATAAAGATAAGGTCTCTCAATCCCTATAAATGACCTTTTTTGTCCCTTACACCAATATGATTATTGGGCAGTTGAATGGGGGCGGTAAAAACCTTAATCCGACCCTAAACGTCATTATCAAATCGTTATTATAAAAAGTAATGACATTATACTTGCTTCTCATCCTTGCATATAACTAAACACTACGTTCAATTTGAAATAATATTAGAAATCTGGATTTATACGCTTATTAAAAATTAGCGTTTATGAGTTTTGTTATATGAAGTCGAAATCGTGATAATTATCTAGAAATGTATTATCAATAACAATCTTGAGTGATAATCCGAATAGAACCTTGGCCTTCCTTAAGAAGAAGATAACAGCTCAAAATATTTGGCTTTAATTTTCTTTAATTTCCTTGGAAGTTCCTCAGTATTTTATTTTTTTAAGGAGGTAAGCTACTAGGAATACTCATTGCCCAACCTTCTGGAGTCCCTGGAGGATAATAAGCTGTATATATTCAAAAGGTGTGTCTTTTTATGACAGATATATGATCCTTTTGTATGACTACAAATTTTTCTTTATAACCTACAGTAGAAATATAGTTTTTGTGAATACCAGCACGCGTTCTAAATTTAAATATATTGTAAATATTCGAAACATATTACAGACCATTTGATTTTCAAATTTTATATAAATAGGATTTAATATTTTTATCGCATTATCAACTATATAGAGACTTCTAAATTTATATTTCTGACAAATAATTAATATCATTATTTCAGATTAATAAATGATTATATATTAATTTTAATTTATATATTTATATTATTATGTGTCTATTATTTACATTATTATTTTGAGGAAATAACGTAAATAACAATTTAAGTAATAATTCAAGGCTCAGAAGAATAAATCAAATATTGAATTAAAAAATTGCCAATATGAGCCGACACTAGTTGATCATGTGTGTAAAATAATTATTTTATTATAATCATAAATAGCAATATATATAAAATGATAATATAAATATAAAAAATAATAATACGGAAATATAAATCCAGAGATCTGTGAAAATTGCTCCTAAACGTTTTCTAGATTGATGTAGATATGTTTATTTACCGAGTCAGAAGCCACGTCTGGCTTCGAACTTTACATGAACGTAGAATAGAATGTTTGCAGGACTCACATGTAGGTCACTTAAGTCGGCCGTGAGCAGAGCGTCGCGAATATGGCCTGCACGCTCCGTGACCATCATCTTTGTCTCGATGCCAGCGATAGTCATGAGTGGTTGAACATCCTTCTCCCAGATCTTGACACCTTTTTTTTTACCGCCTATAGGATTGATGAACAGCATTATCTTTCGTGGCCGATATGTCAAACCTAAAACAATTAATTGCAAATTAAATTCTGCTTTCGATCCTTCTCTTAATTTTAAGAATTTTTTGCCTCAGCTTTTTTAAATTTCCTCAAAATTTAGTTCTTCTATAAATAATTTTTTTAATTTTAATTAAACATTTACTTATTCTTTATATCTATATGCATAAAAGTCTGGTCACTACCTGGAAATGTTTCAAAACTTGTCGATATAAAAATTAATTGTAATTAATTATAAACTTTTGAACGATTCATGATTAAAAATATATTATTTTTAGAAAGAATCAAATTAAATCAAAATCCCTAATTTTTCTCACTGTAATTATGACATCGGAGATAGAAAATCAAATATTTTTTTCTTATACGTCGAAATATAAGGCCTTAAAAATGGAAGATTGAAAGAAAATTCAGAAGCATTAAAGGCAATATATTTTTACAAAGTCATATATCTTATGTTGCTAGTTGATAAGAAAAATTCGTTTGTTCTTTTCACTGGATTATCTTTGCTGAATTATAGTGAAACAATGACATACTCGTATTTTTAATCGACTTCCTTTTTCCTCATCACGATTTAATCAACTTCATCTGTTTAAAAAAGAAAATGGGTCAAACGAAGACTCGGAGAAGGAAGACAGAGTTTTAATCATGTAAAATTGTCTCTATCGATTTTCCTCATAACACGCGATGTAACGTCGATAATCGAACAAGAGTTTTTTTTTTTGCGAAAACGGCAATTACACGAACATGGCAAACCTCCAGATCAATACTACACATAACTGTTAACTCGCAACGACGATCGATAAGGGTAGTTTATAGAGCAGACATATCCCTTGTTTTCTCGGCATTCATTAAAATTTGTGTGTTATCTCTTCCCTTTTTTTTTTACTTTTTCTCTTCCTATATCAAGTTCATCCCAACGTGCATCGCTGTATGTTAACAGAGCCAAAAGATCGCATCTCGCTTAATTCATTTTGTGATACTTTTAAGCGGAGCAGCAATTCAATTTAACTCGGGAAATCTAGAAACAGCCAAATGGAAGAAATACATAAATGATAAAATTAGAGAAAAAAAGTAGCGATATTTGAAATTAGGAAAAGCGTCAAAATTCGTATACAAGATCGATGAGCATATATAACAGTGATATTTTAATCTAAAAGTCAACTGCAATGTAAGTAACAACCGTAGAGTAATAATTTAATTCGGGAATTATTAAAATTCGCAATATTTAACCGATCTACCGATAAGAAAACTTTCGCGCAGACCGTAACTGGTTTGACTGGCTGTCGCTGCGTTCCATCAAAGTTTTCGGATCACCGAGTATATTCTCGTATAACGCGGACCTTTCATTGCGATTTATGTCGATTCCAACTGGGTTAACTGGCTACCCAGACTTTACATACTATATCTCTGGCTTTAATTGCGATGGAAAAATGCTCAAACGAAAGGTAGCTTTTTCATAAAAATTTCGCTCTATACAATACTAATCTATAATTAAAGATTTATCATTAAACCTTATCTTTGACTTATCTTGAATCTAAATATATATATATATATATAAATAAAAATATATATAATCAAATAAATGAAGTTATAAAAACTTTATATCTCCTCCATTTTATAAATATATAAATATAAAATGGAAATATATAAAATGTTTAGTTTTTTATTTTATAACGTAATCTTTATTTTAAAAATTGTAAACTCAAGATAATTTAGAAATAATCTTTTTAATTCGACATAATTTTGCATTTGCCTTATCTTGATTTTAATCCTTTTTTTTACTTTAATTACCACGATTTTTTAAAGTTTATAATTTCATTTTTCCATTCTGTTAGATTCATAATGTCAAATTATACTCACTTTAAGTTATTTTTAATCATTTCTGTAGGCCGTCTACTCAATATGTTGTGAATTTAATTAAAACAATGGAGTTAAACAACTTAACTCAAGAACATTAATTAACTTTAACTCAAATTTATTTATTAAATGCATTGGTGTGAATGATGTTTACTTTGAAACTAACAATAAGAATAGAAATCGATTAATTTACATTTTGACATATCTGAAAGTTAAAAATAACAAAACGTTGTTTAATTTAAGAGATTAGGCTATCTTTTACTCTTGCTATATAACTAACAGTGTAGTATTACTTTTCGACGTGTCTGAGTTGCTTATGTCATCATTTAATCTACGAAAATATTATGTTACTCTTATGTTTATGCTCACTACACCTCAATGATATCAGCGACGACGCATCAGAAGCTAGCAATTCTCATTAATGTATACATCGCGTTAATTCTTCAATGGCGAATTTGATTGCCTGTTTTCTTGAGTTCCCTCTTTTTACACGCTTTTTTTCAACAAAAAAAAGCGAACAATTTTTCTTCTATTTTCCAGAACATTTTCAAATGTATCCAATGCAAGAATAATCTTACACGTTGAAAACGTTCTTTCATACTTCTTACTTCTTAATTTTCTGCATACAAGTTACTTTTAATTTATTACTTAGTCTTTTTTATACACCTTTTTCAGCGAATAAATTGTGAGAAAAATCGTCACTCTTTAACAAACAGTGAAAAAAAGTTTATGCAAACGTGTCTCGCTTGCAGACATAACGTCAGCTTCGCCTATCGCTAAAATAATACGTATGCAGTTTCTTATGTTATACACGGGATGTAGAAAATTACAGGCGTGCCATTAATTATTCTCTGTGTTAATTGTTCGCGGCCTTCGATATAGAGTCGATTCCTTATTTTATATTACATATTGTTGTCAATTTTCGATATCAAATGAAAATCTTCCGCTTCATAACTCAATTTCATAATTCTATTTAATGTTTGCACTCGACTTATTTCGTAATTTACGATAATGATCTTCTACACGCCTCCTCGCGCGTATATTATATACATCGCAATTCTAAAATTATTACACGGTCAACGCGTTGATCGCGAGAGTCACTTCACGAAGCTGATTTCGAATAAATGCTCCAATGGATTTAGAACGGCGGGACCCAAGCAAAACACAAGTCATGATGACATTAAAATGACATTAAAATGACTCTAAAAGTCATTTTTCAGTCAGTCACGATTTTAACATCATTTTTTATTATTTCTACACTGAAAGAAAAGATTGGCTGAACATGGCATGGCATTTTTAATTGGTTGCAGCGCAGCTAATTAAAAATGCTACGCCATATTTTATTATACCTGCATCTAATTTACTGCAGCGGCCAATCTTTTCTTTCAGTATACCTTTGATTCTTTCATGTATGTTGCTACGTTGAATAAAATTTTTGTTTTATTATCCAAATTCTGTCTTGTTATCTGCTGAATTTTTCTTGTAATTTCGTATTCTTTATCTCCTGTTTTATATTCTTGGCTAAAAACGGTGTTGGTGACGCATCTAGAAGATTTAGGAACACTGAAAAGAAAAGATTAGCTGAATATGGCACAGCATTTTTAATTGGCTGCAACAGTCAATTTTTGATTGCAGCAGCCAATCTTTTCTTTCAGTGTGTAGGTATAGATCTGAAAATTTTGTTGGACCATTGAAATAATGTTTTAAAAATAATATTTGGAAACTTAAACACAATATGCAATAATGCGAAAACTTTTAACATTTTAACAGCCAACCTGAACATCCTAACAGAATTATTTTCCACAGTATATAACAGTAACATTACATCAATATTATATAATTTTGTACTCACTAATGTAATTCTGTTATGTGTTACATAAATTATATTACATATATATTATTAAGTGGAAAATTATAATATTGATGTAAGGTTATCATTAGTTTGTATGCTGAGTTTGATGGTCTAACAAAATTATTTTCAGATTCGTATCTAATTAAATTTTTATAGATACTTCAGCAAAATACTTCTTTTCGTGATATATTTGTTTTTTATTATTTTGTATATATCTATATTAATTCTACACATATCTCCCTTATTATTTACTACATACTTGCACTTCAATAAAGTAATATTATGTTATCATGATGTTATCGTGACTTGTTCTGCTTAAGGAAGATGATTGAGTCGAACTCACCTAGGAGGTAATTGCGAATGGTCTTCACCCACGAGGCGACCTGTCTGGGATCCGTATGGCTCATCGTCACGCTGTGATGTTTCCATTTGTTCTTGGACCCGCGCACGGCGTAGTGCAGGATGAAATTCGTCGGACATACCGTGGTCGGCGAGGTCGGCTGCTCCGACTGCTTCTCCTTAATGCTCACACCCGATATCCAGTCGTCGCCGTAGCGCACCGCCAGAACGTCCGTCAAGGGCAGGGTCCATCTGGCTGAAAGAGCAATATGAACGAGGGGAATTATCAGAGGTGCTTCGTGAATTTATCAAAGCCTTTGTATTCACCGATATTTAAGCCAGAAATAGCAACCTGGATATTTTTATACCCCGACCACTTATAGCGGTTCAATGATTTTTATACTTTAATATAAAAATAAAAATAACGTTATGTTAATTAAATTTTTTATAAACAATTACAGTTTCTCAAATAGAACGATAAAAAAGGAAAGAGTTGCAGAATCAGATACGTATATAAATTTACATAGAAATATTGAAGCACTAAGAGCTTCGACCAAAAGAATAGAATTTATCTTAGGTATAATATTTAATTAAAAATCTTATTTTTTTGAAAATACTTTCATGTCAATAAGTTTCTTAACATGCTTATTTTGTTTAATATTTTATATTTGGTTTTTATTTATTAATATTTAACCAAATAAATACAGGTGAACATTTACATAAAAAAAAAATCAGATGACTCCCGAGTTAATTAAAATGCAATCCCCCCATTTCTCCTCTTTTCTCTCAACCAAGACTGTTAAAAAGGCGGATCAAATTTTAACGTGAAGAAAGAAGCAGCTCTGACGTGATAAATGTCAAGGAAATGTTGTGTTAAAAGCGAATATTTATGGCGCGACCGCACGTGCAAATGTATGCGCGTATATTATATATACAATCAACTTTGGTATAGATAACTATCGTTGACGGTCTTGATAAGATGGCTTAAATCTGGCCCAGGCTCTCTAAGGAAATATTTGATCCGCTTGACAATGAACGTTGTTCCATTAATCGTTCTATTTATGCTTATCAACGTTGCGTAAGCTCGTGGTTTGTCTCTCTGTAACAATTCTAACTTCATCAGATTCTACTGTACAATGATCCGATAAAATTAGAATGCTCTACGTTATGCATGCATATTTTGTGCATCATTAAATTGTAGGAGAAAAAAGCGATCGCTTTGTCCGGTGGACGTGGACTCCAGAGAATAGTAACCAACTCGCGCGCGTAAGACGTTACGCAATACTTCCAGTTACTGAGTTACGCGATACAAAGAGCAGGTGCACGCGCTTGAATACTAGGATGCCAGAAAGTAGCAAGAAACTATTATCCCTGCAAAGAGAGAGAAAGAGATAAAAAAAGATGTTGTCGACATTCATCGATACAAATTTATTATCTTTAATTTTCCACTTTATTTTTATACAAAATAATAAACATAAAAATGACATTGTAAGAGTCAAATAATTAAGAGTGATATTCTAAACAACAATTAAACCATATATTTTAAATTTTAACTATTGTGACAAAACTTAAAACTAACTTATAACATTAAATGACGGAGATATTTCACTTTATTTTTGTTTTGTATAATTTTGTTAGCGGTTTTTTGACTTTTCTTTTTACTCTAAAAAGAGACAAAGAAAGAACTCATATTACTTTATCACGTTCCGGGAAAACAGGAAGCATTACTGTACAACATTGTCTGCAAATTTCTCATTTACTGCAAACCGCGTTATATGTTCTATTTTTTCTTACGTAAATTAACTTCACACAAATATAATATTCTTTTTATCGAAAGAAAAGAATTAGTACGGAAAGATTTTTATTTGCTTTATTTGATTGTTTTATATACTTTGCTTTTCTAAGACCTTCTTAGACATGAGAATATTTTCACCAAAATTTCTTATCTCTTCCTTATATTATCGATAAATTACTGCGTAATCACTTTGTTAGGATATCGACTATTATCTCGTGCTTATCGTCTGTCAAGGTAACAGTTTCTTACGGTAAACATTCACGTATCAAGTGTTACGTCTGATAATTAGTCCGTGGAAATTTAGAATAATTTTTTTCCACACGAGCGAGGAAACGTATTAATAACAACGTTTGGTCGACCGCATCGTACATTTGCAGCTCGGAAATATTGGGAATTATTTTTCAAATAATCGTAATTTTCATCATGCATGCCACGTCTGCATATTCATCGAGTCGCGGAGCCAAAGAGATACTCATTCTATTACATAGTTATCCATCCATTCATACAAAATCGTAAATTTTGAATTAAATTAATCGAATGTTTTAGCTTGTGTAATTTGTCGATACAAAAATTAATTATAATTAATCGTAAATGATTCTTTTAAAACTATTTATATTTAAAAATATATTGTTTAGAATTATAAATCAAGGTTTGATTCTTTTTACTGCAATTGTGCTGAATCATGATATTGAAGATAAAAAATTATTCGTTTTTTTAATAAAACGATTAGTTTTATTGTAATTTCAGCAGGTATTTATTATTTAAATTAAGTATTTATTAAAATAAATTGTTTACGTTTCAAACAGTTTAAAAAATTTTGTATTTGGAATAATAAAAAGACTTCTTTTTTTCTTTATTTGCACTTTCCCTTTTCTTCCTTTTTTCTTATTTTTTGTTTACCTTTCCTTTACTTTTGCATTTTCTCTTTCTTTTATTTTTTTAAGTTAAAACGATAAAGGCTTTGGAAAGTGTAATAATCTAAAATGTAAATAATCAACCATTTCAAGTCACCATATGTAGTTGCAAGTATAGGTATGTATTTTGAAACAATGCGTGAAGAGATGCATGTGGCGAAATATAATTTTAGCAGCGCAGCGGTTTCATTTCTCGCGATCGCACAGTGCTGACATGATCTGTCAAGTCTTGTACGTATGTACATACAACAGCGATTCGTTCGAATGTAATTGTCATTCCGACGATCGCGCCGTAACGAACGGTTGTTATCGAGAATCGATTCATCAGCGATGTATCGCGCGTCGTGATCGACCTTAATAAAACGACAGTTATTGTCTCGCGTTTACGACTTCCTCGTATATGTATACGCACGTCGCGGAAGACGCCGATCAATTCTTTTTTAAAGCCACGTCGAATGATTTGTAATTCACCTTAGATTTTAGATCAGAAATTTTGTTTACAATTTTATATGTGTATTTTATACGTTTGTAATTCTATGTGGTTTTACTTCGACGCGTTTATTTTAATATACTCAGCCGGCTTTTCTTGCCCAAAAGTGTAAAGCAACCCCACAAATTCATGTAAACATTCTATATTTAACATAAATTAAAAGAAAATAAATTAAAAATAGTTGGGTATTAAAAATAATATTTGTTTTTATAACAATTTTAATTTTTTGTTAGTTTTTTTTATTTCAATACCGCTTTTTTCCAGAAAAAACAATAAAAATTGAAGGTTTTATACTTTATAATTAAAGTTACATATGTAAATAAAATTCCAACTTTCTAAAAAATTTACAAATGTATTTTTGTATATTTTACATAATACATAAAATTATAAGTGGAGTTCCTGTTTTACATTCTGACATGTATTGTAAATCGTCTAAAGTGGATATAACACGGAAGAAGCACGACTTTGCGACAGTTGTTTGTTTCAGCAATGAATTTATAACAACCACTCAATCAATTTTGACAACGATTGATTTTAGATTTACAACGATTGAACATGCAATTTTGATATTTGCAGATAATAATTTCAACAATAATAATTGTTGTAAATTTCAATTAAGACATTATTCTTCAGGAACTTAGCATTCTAAAGCTAATTGGCCAATTTGCATTTGGTTCCTGTAAATTTACTCCATTAACAAGTTGACATTAAAGAGAGAGGTCAAATCAAGGAATCTTTATATTGTTTGCGTTGGAAATATACACAAAGTTTACATCACATAATACATTTTGCGTTACAATCGGATCGGTTTCGATATTTGCGTGTATGTTTTAATAACCTGTTTCGTCTTCTCGCATGTTAAGCAGGACATGTATGAACCCTCAACAATAGTGTTAAGATGAAATACATGGAAATGAATACGCGAATATTTCACGGCAGAAGTCTCAAATTAGTTACGTGACTGTCTAAAGCATTTGTCTTTGCATAATTACGACGAGCGACGTATTTTCAATGTTAGTCGTTACGTAAGTAAAAAGATATTTTATTCTATGATATATTGTTTTCTGAAGCGCGTTTATTAATTAATAATAAAATAAACAATAATAAAATCATAATAAATTCAAAGAAGAAACAATTATACAGCATAGTTTTACAATACTTAATTATACCATATTATTATATTTTGATTGTGCAACAAATTATTATCAAATTTATATTTACATGGAAAAAATGAGTTGGCTGAAGTATCTAAATTTTTAGGTAGATATACAGGTTTAAAAAAAGAATTTTATTAAACCATTAAAATAATCATATAAGAAACTCAATCATGATAAAAGCAATGCTGCAAAAAAATTTTTTAATAAACAGATTGAATATATAATTATTTTGATATAGTATATAATTTTTTGATATAAATAACAAAATTATTTTTTCAGACTGTTACTATAGCTATAAATTTTTGAATACTTCAGCAAACCATATAATAATGAATTTCGCAGAGTTGCCATTTAACAGTTTAAAAATTGAAGATTTTTCAGAGACAGTCATTAAAAACGGTAGAATGCATGTCGTAGGCCGTAGGTCGTTGACATGCCGGTTTCTCGCTCACAGACAGGTTTCTCCTGTCTGACCGAGATAACGTGCCACTGCAAGAAATGTAGTATTAGCTATAGGTTGAACGATGGAAAGTGAAAGATTGCAGACATTGCACTTGCTTCACTGAAACGTGCCGAAACAGGCGCTATTAATCGACGAGCCGCACCGCCGACACGAAATTAGCGACGCTATTTTCGATCGGTGTTATTCTCTAGCTGAGTATTTCCGGCACTAGTGACGTAGACATAATAAAAAAAGTTACCCTACAAGGCTTTACCAAGCTTTACGATCGAAACAATGATCGAAACAGACTAGAGGTAAACCAGCTGGGGACGTTCAATAAAATATATTTAAGAAGAAATAAATTATGTTATATAAAGTAATAATTATTATTATTAAGACATGTTTTAAAATATTAATTAGAGAGCTTCAAAATTAATAAAAAATATTTTATATATCTT